CTCATTTTATTTTTTCCTCAGCTGCAATGAGAAGAGTGCCCCATTTTATTGCCCAAAGTGATGTCTTGGTTTTATAGCTTTAATTACGATAAATCACACTCATGAAATTCTCCCCGCCACAAAATGAGATCAGAAATTCACTTTTCCTTTACACCTTTTCCTCTCAAAACGTGTGTGATTTAAAAAAAATTTACGCTTTTCAATCGGTTTTTTTTGCTTTCCCTATTTTTTCTTTCTTTCTTTTCTTTCTGATTTTTTTTTTGGTCCCTAGGCTCTGCCAAACGGCAACACTTCAATAATTATTAATAAAACAAAAGTAAGTTCTCGAATTGTTGTCTGGAAGGATCAATGCGCGCAAGTGAGTGATTCCCAGGAAAATAGAAAAGGGGGAGGGGAGAGAGAGAGAGAGAGAGAGAGAGAGAGAGAGAGGAGAGAGAGAGAGAGAGAGAGAGAGAGAGAGGGAGAGACGGAGAGAGGGGGAGAGGAGACAGAGAGACAGAGAGACAGAGAGACAGAGAGACAGAGATGGGGGCGGGGAGGGAGAAAGGGAGCGAGATGGTGGAGAAGAGAGAGAGAAAAAAATGTGGTGGTGGTGAGTGTGATTGGTTAGAAGAAGAAGGGGAAGCTCGGCTCTTCCCCTGCCGCCTTTGCCTGGAAGAATAGCTGGAGCTGCCTGCCATCTAGCGGACAGACATGGAGCCTAGAAAGGGCAGCTTCGTTCACTTACCGCGGCACCCCCCTCCCCCGCCCCCTCATGGAGCCTGTGCCTTTACTGCAACCAAAGACAACACTTTGAAATTTCTTTCAATGGATTTTTTTTGTACTTGAGAGATTGTACTGGGAGAATAGAATATTTCTATTAGTTGAATATTCTCCAATGCCTCAGTCCCAGCCCCCTCACCTTTGAGAACGTGTTCAAAGAGGCTCTAGTGTATTTGTGTGTGTCTGACAAAGCAGAAGCAAAGAGTAGGCGCTCCACTCGGGATAATGTAAAAGTTTGTCTCAGCCAAAGCATTCTGAAATCCAACACCATCTCAGGTAAAAGTGGATGTAAAGTATCCACGTTTTATTGATAAAGATGGATTTTTCTTTTACACTTGTTTTCTCTTTAAATTCCCAGCAGAGGTGTATTTATGATGTTTTCTGGTGTGATGGGAGTTTAATGTTTCTGCTCCCCTTCAAATAGTGGAAGAGTGGGATGGTTTGGCGATGAGTAGAACCGATCACTCTTAATAGCAGAATAAACGGTTTTATTTGTCTGTCCCTACAAACCCCCCCAACCCGAATAATGAGGAGATTTTCAATGGGTTCTCTGGGGCAAGCCGCCCCTATTGTATATTGCATTGATAAAAAGGATGTTATTGACTATGCAACAGTGGGCTCCTTTCCTCTCTCTCCCTCTCCCCAAATAAACTCTCACTCATGTCTCCTGGTCAGTGAAAAGGTGAAACGAACAAGATTAAATCAGACAAAAAAAAAAGCAGGCTCTATGTATACGATCTAGATTTAACTCAGACTGTGAAGAGCCTGAGAGTGAGAAGCAAAGCAAGACAGAAACACACAGAGGAGATGGGGAGAGAGAGTGTATGAAAGAAGGGAGAGGAGGAGAAGAAAAAAGAAGGGGAGGGAGAGGAGAGGGAGAGAGGGAGAGGGGGGAGGGAGGGGAAGGGGAAGGGGAGAGAGAGAGAGAGAGAGAGAAAGAGAGAGAGAGAGAAAGGAGTGATGAACAGACCCTGCAAGCTCCCATCCTTCTCCTTGCCGACGTTCCCCAGAATCCTGGATCGCTCACAGCTGGCACCAGAGAGACCCGGCCAAGCCCTGCCCCGCACCAGGCAAGTACTGCTTCTCACCCCACCCCCTTAAACTCTGTGTTGCTAATGGGGGGGGCAAAAAGGGCTGCATCCTCTATCTCTATTTCCTTAGAATGCCGCTGCCTTCCGATCGTAGAAGGATTGTAGAGGGAACTTTTTTTATTTTTTTTTTCTTTTGATACCAATTCGGGTTGCTCTTGTCTCGGGTCAGTGTCTGGGGAGTCTGAATGGTGGGGGACTGACTCAGTTATACAGTATTTTTACTGCTTTCAGTCTGTGTAATTTAATGGGTATTAAAGTAAAGCTCCACATATCGGTCCTCTAGATGTGAGAGTGTTACGGTAGCATCTGTCCAGATTCAAAACACGCACACAGATACAGACACACACCCTATACAACATCTGTTGATGCATTATACACGTAGAGCCATACGTTTTGCTATACATACAGATGCAATGAAGATATAAACTTCTACTAATTTACTGAGCAGGATTTGCAGTGGTGACTATGAGGGTGCCAGGTCGTCAGCAAAGAAGGATAAACAGGAGAATGCTCTGTTCAGTCACCTGTCCTGTTTGTTATGTGACCACCTAATGGAAGAGATCGATGGTAGCTTGCTTTTATCTGGGTGATAGTGTCAACAGATTAAAAGAACTTCTATCAGACCCACCCCAGGAACTGAGAAAAGA